ATGTATTTTGTTTCTGATCAGACAAATTTGATCATATTGCTTCATGGTGGGGAAAAAAAACCATAACCTAACCATGAGTGTTGGATGAAAAGACGCCATATCCCAGTCTGTTAGGTGGGAAAGACCTTTGCATATTTCTGAATTAGGAATTAAAGGTACAAGTCAAACTAAGGTTAAAGGTTTAGCAAAGATCTGCAAAATGTGCCCATACAGGAATGTTTGTCAAAAATAAGGGTTTTCCCCCATGACTTAGCTCTCTGCATAGCATCCTCTCCCATGGCAGTGGTGCTCACACTCCCAGGTGAGACCAAGTTATTTGTGCTCCTCTTTGGCTAGTTCACCATTTTGCTGCTGGAAGGCAATGTGGGCTTTCTCCCCTCCAAGTCAGCTTTTACATGAAGAACATTCTCTCAGATGGTTGTCTCCAAAAAAATCATGACCTCCAAAAGAAGAACTGTTGGTCAATTTTTTCAGCCTGTCAGGGTTAAGCAGGACTATTTTCTATCTCTTCTCTCATCTGAAAGGCTCAGAGCAGCTTCTGCTATGGAGCCATGAGACCAAACTAAGGCAGGACTGTGTTCCTGTGGGACCAGGAGATGTTGGAGCAGACCTGAGGGTGATCTTCTAAGCATCAATGGTTTGAAAATCCCAGTTGAAGGGAGATGCACAAGTTCTGCTCAGTTGGTGCTTGCACATGATTGTCCATACCTGAATGCAGGTCCCCAATTCTGCTCTCTGTGATTCAGGGTCTGCTCTCAGCAAAACTTCACTGGTGTGAATCACAGATGAACCATCCTCAGTGATGACCTGAAATCCAGGAGCCCTCAGTTCTACCACCAGATCTGCTGCAGGTTTTCAGCATCACCTTGGGCAAGTCTCAGCCCTTTTGAGTTTCAGTTTCCTGCCTGGAAAGCAGAGGATTCAGTTCCTTTCCTCAGAGCAGCACGGTTCTATAAAGTACAAATATTTGTGAAGTTAAGTGCTTTGACTGTGTGAGCCTCTGAGAGAAGAAACCATAAATATGTGTCAGGCCTATGATCTGAATTCAAACCAGTGAACTAGAAAAAGTGTTGACAGCCTGAAACCAACTGCCCTGTACACACAACTCCTTCTGTCTACCTGAAAGATTATTTGTGGAATGTGTTTCTATTTTTCTCTGACAAAAAAAACAGAATACCAAGCAAAGAAGCATGACCCAGTTCTTTGTCAGGCAAGCTCTAAACCCTGCTTACTGAGATGTGACTGAGGTATTGATAAAAGAGAAGCTCATTTTAGGCCACAGTATTCATCCTGCCCTTGAAGAAGAAACAAAGCCTGCCACTTTCAGATGAAATGGATGTGCTTTTCAAGCCAAAGTATGTTTATCTCCTCCACAACTTCTATATGATCTGTAATTACATTTGGACCAGTCAGTGAAACAGGTAAGTGGCAAATGAGGAGAGTTATGAATGTAACTAATAATTTTATAATGGGAAAACATCCAAGCACTACACCACTGACAGTACCTGCAAACTCTGCTAATAGTCAATCAATAGGTCTGATAAGAGCATCACTCATCACAAACTGCTTCACCTTCAGCAATTTTTCATGGTCCTTTCTCTGTGCAGTGCTAGGTATGGGTGCACATCATGCTGTTCCTGGTGTTGGCCACAGGAGTGGACTTCCTCCAAGATTTTGTTTTTGGGTTTTTTTACATAGCATATAGTATATTCAAAACAATATCAAGTCATACCGCACTGAGCCTTTTATTACCAGAGATTTTTGGACAGAAGCACATAGTCTAAGTTTTCTGAATTAACAGGCAGATGGTAGCTACCTCTTTTTTTTGGTATTTTTTTCCAACTTGTACATTTTAGATTTACAGAACTTGATTTCACACATCTGAAGAAACACTGACATAAATCTAAATTTATCTTTGATGCATTTACAAATATTCTTTTTCTTTTTTTTTTTAATTTCCTGAAGTGTCTCTGTCTAGACTTCTGCCAAAAAGCAGGAACTTTCATTTTCTCCTCTGTTAACATAAATACCTTTTAACATTATGCAGAGAATGGCATGACTGTCACTTTCCCATGGGATATGAGGACCATTCACTCCATCACTGACAGACATCTGCTCTCCATTGGCCAGGATAAGTAGCTCTGACATCTTCCTGCTACACACTGATACCGTGAGTATCCCTGAAATGCAGAATATTTGTGACTCTAGGCTTCTTAAATTCTTTTTTATTATTGTTTTCTATGTGGTTCCCTGAAACAACGAAGGTTAGTTGCATCTGACTCTTAATTGGACTTCATGTTCTATCAGTCATTATTTTTGCAAAGGCCTTAATTGCCCTCTAAAACATTTTAATTAAAACAGCAATTTCTCGATGCTGTGCTTCACAAGTGGCTTTTTGCGGCAACTTCAAAGAGACGCAGATGTTTACTGAATTTGGTGGGGTGGCATTGGAGGCTGCCTACTGGCAAAGAAAAATTCATAAACATCTCAAAGAAACCTTCCTGTGGTAATGACAACATTTCCTTCTGACATTTTAGCAAGTCTAATATTTCCCAATCTCAACAGGCATATTTCATGGGCACGGCACAGCGGCGTTATCTGCTCACAGGATGAGCCACGGCAGCAGCTCTGCTGTGGGGCAAAAACCTCCCAGTGGGGATACCTGGGGCTTTGGCAAAGGGTACCAGAGGCCACACATGGGTTGGTTTGTGGGGCTCCTCAAACAGAGCATCACTAGGCTGGGAATAAGGAAACCAAAGTTCAGTTTCTGCTGGATTTTCCATAGCTCCCCAGTATGATTGTGGGAGGCTGTTGAGCTTTGTGTGCATCAGTTCCAGCTGGTACAAGAGTGATAACATGTCCTGGCTTTGAATGGACTTACCTGATGGTCTATCTCCTAGTGCACAAAGGAGTGCTTGAGGAGGTCTTGGGGTTTATAAAGAGCTGTTTGAGTAAAATTCAGAAATGCTAGGTGTTTGTTTTGGAGGTGTTTCTCTTTTCTAGTGGCAGCTGACCTTATAATCAATTTGGGGGTAAGCAGGCAGGCAGGCAGTGTTCCCCTCTGAACTGAGATGATGGTACTGGACAAATGGCCATGGCAGACTACATCTAAAATATAAGTAGGGTCCAGGTATCTTCTGTGGTTTGGACAGGTGGCTGTCCCCAGAAAACACCCAGCCTGTCCAGCTGAGCCACCAGGGAGGGTGGTCTCCATGTGCAAGGATCACTATCGCAAGCGATGGTGAGGCTCACACTCCTTTCTGTGCACAGAACCAGAATTCTTAATGCTGGAAATGACCTCTAAACTCATCAAGTCCAACTGTTAGCCTCACACTGCCATCTTCACCACTAAACCATGTCCCCAAGTGCCACATTGAGGCCTCTTCTTGAACATTCCATGGACAGTGATTCTATCACTTTCTGGGGCATCTGTTTCTTCCCTGGGTACTCTTCACTTACATTTTTGAAGGGGGATAATAGAAGTACTTGGAAACAGCTTATCCATTTCCACTGTGAGCACTGGGAAAAGATCAGCATGGAAAGCCAGCATGGAATATGGTGTGACACGTCATGTAGCTGCTTTAATCTGCATTGTAATTACAGTGACAATTTCTGCCTCTTGAAGCATCAGGATTGAAGTGGTTACCCTGAAGGAGAAAGAGACTCAGTGGGAGAATTTCAACCAAATCTAGGATGGGAAGTGCAGCACTTCCTCTGCATTGGATTAAAAGTGATCAGCATGGCCAAAGGCATCCTGTGAGAGACAGGTAAGCAGGCTGAAAGGAAATTGGAAATATTAAAGGGATGAAGCTGGACTGAACAGAACTAGTTTTACAATTCCTTATTCCTCCTTCATTTGGTAGCATTAGGCAGACTGAAGGGTAGATTGTGCAGACTTATGCGTGACAGCAAGACACTTTTCCACACCAATAAACCCCCTGAAATTAATTGGATTGCTCACAAAAGTGCCTGGGAATGTGAACTAGGCTCGCACATTTCAGCCCTCACATTTGATCTTTCCTCAGCAATGCCAGGGCCAGACTGCCTGGTGAACAGCTACAGCTCAGCCAGCAATGGGAGTTCAGCAGTGACTGGGTCAAGGTCTCTGTGGACACATCCTTGCTGAGGAGCATCTCAGATTAGCTGAATTCACCATAGCAAGAAACAGATTGAAAATAAACTGAAGGAAACTATTCTGAAAGAGAAGAGATCAGCCACATGTTTGTGCTTGCCACAAACTGCTGGGCATTTGCTATGCCATGGAATTGCTCATGTGAATGCTTTTAGCAGGTGGCAAATGCTCTCAGTGAGAATTAGCCTGGCCTGCAATGAGGGAAACCTAAATTTAGGCAGTTCTCCCATGTGTGCTGTGGGGTAAGAGCACACAGCCAGGGGTCCACAGAGGCATGCTTAAGCTGAGGTGCCTGTTCACCAACTGCAAATGGGCTCCTGAAACACCAAACCATATGAAAAACTCCCCTCATGTGCCAGTCTGGAAGGAAGTAGCTTTGTTGTTGTTTCAAAGAATTAGTGAGCCAACAATGCAAAGCTTTGGAGGTGCTTACTGGGTTTTTACTGGAATCTCTAGGAGCTATACAAAGTCTGAAGACATTGTATGTACAGTACATCTTTAATAAGAAGGGAGCTCACAGTCTACCAAACTCTGCCAAATAAACTTTTAATACATACTGTACTTCACTCAGTAGTTGTCCATCTCTTCTTCATGGAATATCTAACAGCTCTAAAAATATTTTCCTGGAGGAGGATAGAATTATCATTGTTATATATCAATCAAGTATGGTTAATGAAGCAAAGCCAGCATGCTAGTATTGCACAAGGGGAAAAGCCTCCAGAACACAAAGTGGAACAACAAATGCCCTCAAAATTCTGCCGAAGGGAACAGGAAGCTCTGGATGCTGCATCGGTAGGATTCGTGTAGCTCTTAGGCGTCCTTGTACCACAGCACGTTTGCTTTGCCTCTTCACTGCCACATTTCTCTCTCAAACAGGTAGGGAACTTCCAGACCATTGCAAAAAAGGAAAAAAAAAATACAGCAGCTGCAGCAAAGTGTGGTACTATTCAATTTCTTGAAGAGTGAGGCTTTTATTTCAAAATATCATATATTAATATATATATATTTCTATATATATATATATATACTTTAACTGGTATAAAGTAAATTGTAGATCCAAACTTATACTGTTGCTTGTACTTTGCAATCTCAGAAACTTTAGCAAAGGAACCACTTTCTTCATTTTTTATTTTCAGCTGTCAAAAATCAGGGCCATTATTCCACCGAATCCTTTCTTTCACACAGTAAAGCCACTGTTGTTGTCTGGTAAACAGTCAAAGTGCAAATAAGAAATCCATTTGGCTTGGAAATGCTGAGATGGTTTTAAACTTTCAATACTTTGTCCTCATAAATCAGCAGGGCTTTCACTGTCTCCGTGCAGACGTGGGCGCTCTGTTAAGTCCTTGGGTGGATCTGCAGTGAGAAAATGGGAAAGAGTCAGTTATGCATAATATGTTATTTTTTAAATATAGTCTTTTGGAAAAGAAAGGCTCTGTGGGATATAGCTGATTGATATAGCTGAGTTTGAATGCAATACCAGAGGGGTGTGTGTCTTTTAGCACTGCAGGGGTGTAAAAATATGCAAGAGACAGATCCTGAGCAAGATCCTGCCTCTGCCTTGGGAGAGATTGGATGTGCTTTAACCACCTGGGCTGGTGGTGCTGGACATCACAGAATGTCTTGGTTTGGCAGGGACACCTTTCACTACCCCAGGTTGCTCCAAGTTCTGTCCTTGGACACTTCTAGGGATGAGGCAGCCACAGCTTCTCTGGGTAACCTGTGCCAGGGTCTCACCACGCTTACAGGAAAGAATTCACTCCTAATATCCAATCTAAACCTCCTGTCTGTCAGTCTGAAGCCATTCTCCCTCATGCTGTCTCCTAATGCTCTTTATAAGAGTTTCTCTCCGTTTTCCTTGTAGGAGCCCTTCAAGCAAGAAGGACAAGCCAGGACAGATTCACCCCATCCTTCCATCCTCCCCTTCCCAGAGTGATTCCAGTGACTTCTGCTGGACAAGACAGGCAGGAGCATCCATCCACCTTTCAGGTTTGTTTGGAACCCTCCAACCCCCTTCCCCAGAGGGCAGGGCCATAGCAGCTACTCCATCTACTCACTTTGTGTGAGATAACACAAAACCCATCCTCTCCTTGTGACCACCACCAAAACTGATCTGAGTGCTGCACTAATGCTGCAAGGGGAAACACCAATGCCCAGGAGTTTTTTTAGGCTGCTAAATTAGGAACAACTGTCCAACAGCAGAAATAGTGCTCTCAAGGAAATGCTTTTGTTATGTTTTTGCTGTTCTGGTTCACCCAGGTGAATACCACAGGGGTTCAGCCCTTTGCCAGGCAACTGGGTCAGCAATGAAACTCACGTTGATTTGAATATGGTCAAGCTTGGAATTAAATCAGGGTTACAGATTATTATCTAACTATAAATTATTGTATCTAATTATAAATTATTAAACACAGCAGTAAATATTAGAGCAAGAGAGATTTACATGAGATCCAGACAGCTCAAACTGAATGACACTGAATCCCACCACTTAAACCTGAAACAAACGGTTTAAACCAATGGTTTAAACAAATGGTTTAAACTTCAAATCAGATTAAACTGGTCAAAACAGGATAAAAATGGTAGACATCAGTTTAAATCAGTTCAAAACAAATCAAACCTATCAAAACCAGTTCAAACTGCTCAGAACCAGTTCAGATGGGTCAAAAAAACCCTGGTTAAAACTGATCAAACCAGGCTGCAGCACAAGGCACAGGCTGAGAAACTGGAGAGGGGCTTTGAGCTGGGCTCCTCTGCCCATTCCCAGCTGACCAACACAATGATTTCCATGCTCCCGAATATCAGCAGCATCCAGCCTGAGATGCTGCTCTCCTATTTCCACTGGTGGCAGTTTCTGTGCTGAAAGTGGCAAGGGGACCTCCAGCAGGTCCTAGCACAGCTCCAAGGGCCCCACATTTTTAAGGAAAGCACTGGAAGTTGTTAAATAAAAAAAAAAAAAAAAAAAAAAAGGAGTGACAAGGGATTAAATGAACTTTGAAACTGCTCCAAAAATTGAATGACAATATTATTTCCTTCCAGTGTTTGTCACCTGCCTGACCATCAATAGAAAACAAATCAATTTAAGGAAGCTGTGAGCTTTAGAACTTTGGCTTTAAAAACTTAATTAGTGACATATGCTAAAGGGCTAAACACAGAAATAAATACATGAAAAGGAAGCAATGAAGAATATGCTGGTAAAGACTTCACTGAGTCTGTTGTCCACCTCTTTCTGACATTAATCAATATTAATCACATGTGAGACCCAACTGAAGTTATGCACTAGCCTAGAAAATGATATATATTGTGTATATCCATGTATTCAGAAATATATAAAAAAAATATATATATGTATATATTTAAAAACATACATATATGTACATATATAAAAACATATACATATGCTTATATGTGATTTAATTTACCGTGGGTCTGGAAGAATGTACTAATGGGTACCTTAATCCCAAGAGTCATAAATGGGAATGTTTTCCTGGTCAGGACAGCAGCTAATGTAAATGTATTTACTGTAAAGAAAAGCCTTCATTAAAACAGTTTACAGCCTATGGAGACTGGCTATATTCTTCTGCCTCACCATCACAGAGAGAGCTGGATGTTGACTGATTTGTCTTGTTTCTTCTGCTTTTTTAACTTCCTTAACTACTCAAATTAGACACACATGGCCCAGTCTTGGAAGCTGGATTGTGGTCAGGGCAGATTACATTGTAATCTCGTTCTCTGCTGCTGTTTGAGATGGCGAAACAAAATGGGAGAAAAAAAAAAAAAAAAGCCTGTTTCAGGATCTGATTGCTTTCATTATTTTATATTTATGTTCTAGAGTTGACACAGTGGTAGGGATTGGAGCAAAGTTCCAGGGACTAAGAAGCAGAATTTCTCCTTAGAAAATGCAAGAGACAGTTGCTGAGCACATCATGTCATGTTGCCTTTGTCAATTGGGTTCTGTAATGATATTTTAAAGCAACAAAGCAAAATTCTACTGGAAGCAGCACCATAAGGTACTCCCCTCACAAGCTAATTAAAATAACTCCTGTGGGTAAATGAAGAAATATTTTTTCAGTTATGAGCACTCACTCTGCAAGTATTTAATTCAAATGAAATACAATAATGCATACTGAATAGATTGGACCATACATCTGCATATTAATGAAGCTCCTAAATTTCTAGCAATCACTTCCATTGCCTTAAACTAGTTTATATGATGAGGACTGGGGGAGTTAAGAGAAGGACAGCTTCAGTGAAGAAATAAAATGCAATTCCTCAATTATATAACTTGTAGACAGATTGCAGAAGGGCTGAATTATTGTATAAGATACTTCATGCTGCTTCTCAGTTCTACATCACTTTCTTCCATTTTAACTCCCCACTTTCCTCACTAGAAAGGACATGTAGTGAATTTAAAAAATCTGGGATTTTTAAAATTTAACTGCAAGGCACATTCATTAGGAAACAGCCTTCCAGTGGTGCTGCAGTGGAAGAGATCAGCTGTGGGCACAGACAGATTTGCAGGAACAGCACCACAGAAGGAAACTGAGTCAGGGAATCCCAGTTCCCTCCATCTTTCCTTCCCTTTTTCTGGGAGGTGACAAAGGGATCACATGGATCTTGTTTTTGGGGGCCACTGACTGCTTCCTACAAAGAAAACCTCCTAAATCAGTAGGTGTCCTGATAATTTAATGTGTTGGTGTGGCAGAAGGCTCTGCTCCAGAAATGAGGGTTGCAATACAAATAATTCATCCTGGGGTAGGTCCTGTGGAGGGAAAGAAAAGGATTCAGGTGCCAAAGGGATCAATTAGGGTAAAATCTCCTCCTTCAACAGGAAGGCCTAGAAGGCAAGAAAAATGACTGGAGTTAGGATTGGAGAGAAAGGAAAAAGTCAGGAAATCACAACACTATGCTGCACATTCCTGTGAATTAGCAGCTGGGCATCAGTATGCAGAATTTCTTATCAAACAGGGAAAAAATCTTGAAAATTTACTCTTTTTCACTTAGCAGATTTCAAAAGCCATTTTCCAATTCACAGAAAATTAAAATCTACATATTTATAAAAGCATTTTGAGTTGACAATCGTGTAATTTTCTTGGAAAAAAAATTCAATTGTGATATGAAAATTGGTTAATTAAAATTTTTGAATACAGGTATAGGTGACAGTTTGAAGACAATGGTTGTGAAATAATCACACAATGCAGAAGAAAAGCTAGAGTCTATTCCTGAAAAACACTTTTATTCCATAATAATCCCATAGTGGGAGTTTAGGCAGCTCATTCACACCCTCCCTCTGCCTGTTCCCGGCACAGTGTAGTGAAAGCTGTTGTCACCTGTTGGCCTGTGCTATCTGAACCTGCAGCATCTCAAGAGCTGTCACTGGTGAGTTCATGGGGCTGGAGCTGCTCTGAAGTGAGAGCTGCAGTGCCAACAGAGAGCTGAGTCCTCTGCTCCAAAGCACTTGTACAGATGTGCTAATCCAGATGTGGCCTGGAACAGCCAAGGAATGGGTTTAGGATCCAGCAGATCTCTCTGAGATGATGTTCTTCCCTTTAGCCACCAGAAAGGGACTCAGGGATGTGCATTAGGGGCATTTTGAGGTGACAGTATCTCTAAGAAAGTGACCTGGTAATTCAACATGCTGATTGCCAGGCCTGGACCCAGCTGACCAGCCTGATACATCTGAATTTTCACCCAGTTATGGCCAGAAGCACTGGGTGATCATGACAATGGTCTTTAAGACTTCCAGCAGGCATGATGATGGAAAAGGCATGGGGGAGCAGTCATTAGTGATTCCCTTTCCTGTTAAAACCTCCTGGGTGCAGACAGAAAGGAAACTTACTCTGGTGGTCTTGATTTTATTGCCAGTTGCACACATCCATCCAGAATTATCAGGCAACGTCTTACATTCCTCTCCTTCTAGGCAGGGCTCCATCTCACACCACCACTTCCCAATCACTATAGAAGCTAAAAGAGAAAAGACAATGTTCACAACTGTGCTACAATGACCAAATCTAATTAAATAATATCTCAAGGGTCTAACACTGCAGTTAAAAGGCAGAGCGTCCCTTCAACTGGAGTTTAGCTGCAAGGATTTCACATTTAATTACTTGTTTGGCATCCTCTATTGCCAAAGACAGTGCACTGCTTGCTACAGCCTCCTCACACAGGAGATCCTGTGTGCTCCTCTGCTGTGGCTGCAGGGAATGCTGTGATGGCAAAAATTCAGCTGCAGACCAAAGGACCATCCATGCTCACAGCCCCTGTCCCTGAGTGCCCATCTGATTTTCACAGGCGTGTACAAGAACAAGGCAAGTCTGAAGAGACTGTCCTCAGAATATTCTTCAGGACTTCTGGTTCAGTGTACTCCACATAAAACTATATCTGTTTTGCTTTCAGGACCTACACCTGGATTTTTTAACCAAAAATCTATCCAGAATTACTTGAAGCCATGGAGACTTTTGGCTTTCCCAATATGCCATCACAACTAGAAACAGAGGGTAAGGTAACTCTGCAGCAGAAGCTGCTTGTTGAAACACAATTATGAATTTTATAGAAACCATACTATCTCTAAAAGTAACTTTTAATTTCCAAATATTTAACATTGTAAATAATGGCAGGGTTTGGACCCAGTTGTTTGAATTTAATTGGCACATATGTTTACAACCTTGAATGTACCTTAATGAAGTTTCTTGCCTGGGAATTGGTATCTGACTATATCCTTAGCTGTATCTTAATGACATTTTTTGTCTGGGGATTTTGATAAACTTTAGCTAACCTTGCAAGTGTGACGAGTTGGCTCATGAGTGGTTCTTTCTGTGGCTTGCTTTCTCTGGCAAGAATTAATTTCATGGTTGCACTCAGGAAGCCTGTCAAAGCTTTCTGCACAGTCACTCAAAGAGAGATGCTTAACCCATTCATATCATCCCTCATGGCTGCTTCAAGCCCACAAAATACCTTTGAAGCAGCTGTCTTATACATTTATATAGTAATATATACACACACCAGCTGACTGGCATTCAGCTCTGGAAATGCCCTGTTGTACATGCATTGATTTAAGGACATTACAGAGCTTATAATTAAGTTCTTCAATATAAAATAGAATAGAATATTTCAGTTTGAGGGGCCCTACAAGGATCATATAGCTCTCAGTGTTGTCTTTCCTGGTTCTTCCCACAGCTTATATCTGATTTTTATCACATAATATATCATTTCTCCATATATACAAGACACAAAAAAAGCCCTTGACACCTGTGCTGGCAAAGCAGTTTAATGATGCTACTCACACACCTGTTTCAGAAGGATAGCATTAATGCTGCTAAGAGCAGAGAAAAAAAATCTCTCTCTTTTCTATGCATGAAAAAGCAAGAGGGCTGAATCTGTGCTCTAATAATAGACTGTGCAGTGGGCAAACTGAAAAACTAAATCCTGCTAAATACTGGCCTGCACAGCAATCATCAGAACAGAGCATCCTCACGATGTGTGAGAAGAATCCTGTGACATGGAATCAAAAGTGATGATCAGGATTATGCACTAGGAGCAGTGCTGTAGCATTAAATAACTCCAGAGAAGGATCCTACAGTGCAAGGTACTAAACCCCACAAACCTGAATGCCCTGGCCTGGAGTTTACCATGTAAAATAGAGATTTGAGGTGAATGCAGACTGAGGGGCAGCATGGAGAGGCAATGCTGCTCATAGAAATTAAAATGATCTCACTACTTTTTAATGCTGTTAAATGCAGCCCAAGTATTCAGATCTTGACCTTGAAAAATAATCAAATGCAGAGTCAGTGCTGAACTCTAATGGCAACTGACTCATGTAGTGGTGTACAGGTTTTAGTATATACATACATGTTATTATTGATTTATGATCACAGTGCAGTTACAGCCAAGTGCCATCAGTGAGCACCCTCACCTGGCCTGAGCAGGTCCTTTTATAATGGAGGAAAGTAATGGGAGAAATTTGAAGATGAAAAACTCCTCTTTGTTTCTAATCTGTATGTAGGCAAAATCCTTTTTAAGTCTGAAGCACTACAAAGCTCACTGTGGTCTAGTCCTCATCCCCTTACCATGGCAGGGGCATCCAAAACCCAAAGAAAATTACTTTCTAAATCTTGTGTTTATAGGTTTTCTCTTCTATTAAGAGCCTTTTAATCTTTAGGATCAGTTGTCTTTCTTGGGTACTGCTGATCCTTTGAGTTCTACTTGATTTCAAAGTTTTACACCTCCAGCTCGTTCAAAGAAGGGAGGAAAACACTTTAAAATGAATCACAGTTTGCAGCACTTGAGATTGGGCCCACCTGTAGGAGGAGGGGAGAAACCTTCCTCAGGGAAAGGATTCAGCTTTTCTATGTTTAGGTTATGTCACTTTGAGATGAGCTGAAGCAGTTGGGTCAAATTGCTCAAATTAAGATGCTCCCCCTCAGGGTGGTTTTTATTCAAGAATTCCCAGATCCTGAGGAACCTGAGCTTCTCAGTGACCCAAACCACTCATCCTGGGTGAGAATTAGAGATCCCTGTTAATCACCAGCAGCACAGGCTGTGAGTGCTCACATCATGCTGAATTAGACACCTGTAGCATTCTGGAGTGTTTCTCACTGTGCTCCTCTCACTGTCTGGGGAATGCACAAGCACAGGAGTTTCTCCATGCAAGGCTGAATTGACTGAGACAGATCCCTCTGCCATGGGGAAAGGAAAAGGATGTGGAACAGAAGAGCTTTGACTATTCCTGCTTTGCTTGTGTTTAATTCAGTGGGTTTTTTTTTTTCCATGACCTTCTAGGTTAAAAAAGGGATTGTTTATATCCGAACTATTTTCAAGCAAATGTCTCTTTTATAAGAATATTTAACTCTTAACATATCACCCATGGAGCTGGGAACAAAAGCAACTTTCTTCAGGAAATTCATGAGGTTTCTTTTTCAGCCTAAATAATGCTTTTCTAAAATCTTTGTTTGCAAAGCCATGGAATAATTTTGATCAAAATATTTAACTTTTGATGTATTTAGTCTGCATGGATTAACGCACACAAAAAGAATTTGGTTAAAATGGCATTTGCAAATCATGGGCTCCAAACAAATAAACTACAAATAAGAAATCTGAAGATCAGATAGAATACAGTGAAAAAGCAATAGAATAGCTTATATTTTATCATGTTTACACAATTCTATTGCATTTTAAAATACATTTGTTCCCAAACATAATGCCCAAAGCCTTAGGCAGCTGCAGGGAACTGCCAGTTTAAGTTGGATTCAGCCTTCAAAGTTCACAAGAACCTTTGGAGGTTGCACAAGGGTAGTGACCGTGCTCTGATTTGCTCCTGTGTATCATCTAGAACACAACATTTGATGGATGAAGGCAGTGGCTGGAGAAAAGTTTTCCCCTTGAATTTCAGCATCAAAATATTCTATTAAGGGGCAGTAGAAATGCACTGAACACCTTCAAATATCTACACCTAAAAGATCAAATCAACATGGAAACATTAATTATTCAATCATCCTCCTCTTAAGTCAAACGAAGTTTGTACATAATACACACTCCATTTGATTAAAGATGCCTGTTGAAACCCCTGAATTTATTATGTGTCACATTTCTCAGTCTTCAAGTTCTTGCATTAAACTGAAGCTACTCAGTTCCTCAAAGCTGTTTTACAGGTGGTTAACAGGACATGGACAGAGAAAATGGGCACACACAGCCCGGATACCCACAGGCAATTGCTTCTGTTATTTTTGCTACTCCTGTCTGTAGAGAAAATGCAAATTATTTTTGTTTTGTTTTGCAGATAAAATTCTCCTTAACTTTTCTGCATTTGTATTTAGGAAATTGCTTTAACAATATGACAGAGTCCATATGGCAAAAAGTATAAAGACATTATATTTAACAATGTACCAATAAGACCATTCTCACAGAGTAACAGATAACTTTAATTCATGTTTATGGAATACCCTGAAATATGAAACAGAGCAAAGTATCATCATGCATTTTTCAACAGTTTAGAGGGAACATGCTATGTATTAAAATGTTCCAAGATTGCTTCTGCAGTTGCCATTATAAAGCCTTAACAGCTCTCTTTTTGTCTGTGATAAAGTGGGCACGTTTTGTTTATATAGAAATAGAATACAAAGGAATGGAGATATTAAATTGTGGTTCCTCCTGGTCATAGGTGTTGTGTTCCTGCAAGGAATAAGCAGCTCATTTTCAAAGCCAGTATGACACTCATTGCAGGATGGGAAAGTTTTCCCTGTAAGTACAGAGCATTCCGTTTTAATCTCGTTTCCACCAGCGAAGATTGATATAAATAAAATTTAAATAGAGAACACATTTCACAGATGTCAGAAGTGAAAAAGACTTTGTCAGCTTAATGAAAAGATATCAATTTTCTCCACTTTATTCAATATATTGTGAGTCATTTTCTAAATGGATTAGATTAAAGGGAAGTTCAAACTCCCTGTGAGAGATTCTTGCACCAATGGAGATTTTGGCAATAGCAACAGCACAGAGGTGGGTAAAATATTTCAAGTAATTTGTCTTTTTTTTTTTTTTTAAATAAAGGATATAAACTAGAATAGGAAAAACTGTAAACCTGTGCTCACCTATTCCTTATACAGCAAAATCTCAGAGAATTGAATGAGACATGCAGTTTCTCTTAGTTTATTGGGATGTCATGGGGAGCAGGATGAATTACAGGGGTGGGAGCACACTTTTTGGGAGGATGAGAAAACTGGACTGAAAGAAAGTGTCATTTAAAGGGTTATGTATTTCATAAACAGACTGAGATAGCAGCCACTCTGGGAGCTGTAGAGAAGAAATCTGATAAGTTAAAGAATACAAATCCGAAACAAAAGATTTCAGGTTGAATATTGCTATCTGGGAGAAATGTAGGATGTTTCCTACAGGGAGTCCAAACTATCAAACTCTCTGCTTTAATTCAATCTTACTCAATTTTAGAAGTATCAATCTAATGCTCCTGC